ATGGTGTTAAGAATACGAGATTTCGATTTCGTTTGACATTCCGTGATAGTCTCGAAAATTGAGATAAAAATAAGAAAAAAATATTTATATATTTTGGAATGGTCTATCTTGACGCATGGTAACTTTTGCTACGATTGGCCGTTTCACACGGGGTTAAGAATGCGATAAAGTAGGTCGTGAGTACTTTGAAATGATGTTAATAATGTAATATTTCGACTTCGTTTAACATTCACGTGATAATTTTGAAATTTGAGACAATAAAGTAAGGAAAAAAGGGGAAGGGGTTGGCTGTGTTGCGTGGGTGGGTGGGTAAAGGGGCGGGTTAGTGACTGTCAAGTGTCAGGAAATAATGAAAATTTTAGTGACACATCAGATTTTTTAAAATTCTGTAGGAGATCTGTGAAAAATTTTCGGTACTCGTAGCATTATCCCCTTTATTTTATGCTAATGTAGGGTGAATAAAGGAGATGAGAAGGGAAAAATATTGTTAAGAGGTGACGATAGCAAGACGGTGGTAGGAAGAAAAAAATTGTTATGATGCACATTTTCGGAAAAAAATGCATTTTTACTGCTAATGTAATGGAGAATATATGGTTGAAAAAAAAGAAAAATTTATTGATGTAATGGAAAATATTATTTTATTGAAAAATGTGTGATTAAAAATAAGTAGAAAAATGCGAATGAAAAAAATAATGTGGATCAAACAGAACCTATATATTTATGAAATGTTAGGGGCCTTTGCTGACACAAATTGAAAGTTAGGGTAATGCCTGTAAAAATTGAAAAATTTAGGGATTGCTGCTATAATTTTCTTTACTTTTTACTACACATTCTTCAAAAAATATCATTCTAAATTATATTTTTTATTTTTTTCAAAAATGAGATGAAAGAAGGGCATAATAAGGACAGGTCTATTTTCGTTAAATTTCTACGTTGGGTCCCAACTCCCTTGTTTCTTCTATTTGTTTTCAGGAAATTTTATTTGTACATAAGAGGTTGACAACCTATCACATGCATTGGGGGTCCGCATGTTTAAAAATTAAGAAAAAAAAAAGGTGGATCCCCCATTTGAGAGGTTATTAACCTCGATTGTCAACCTCTTATACTCTTTGTTTTTTGACACCTTCGGGCCCACCTACTCGATTTATGGTACACTCCGTCAATATGTGGAGTTTATTACCAACACGGCAATGGAGCCTAAGCCAGGGATTTTAAACCACAATTTCGACTTATCAATAAATATAAAAACAAAAATTTAAATATTAATATTAATTAAATGGATTTTTGCTGTTTGTACAGAAAAAAATTAAAAGTGATCGAAATGATGTGGAAGAAAAATATTAGATAAAAAGCCAACTGTGATTTAAACTGACAAAAATAGAATTTCACGTGACATTATGTAAGTTATGATGTATATGTAGCATTGTCTTAGTCAAACGCACTTAAGTATGATCTAGTTTCATTGTAATAGATATAGAGGACTCTTTGCGTGTTATTATCTACTAGTGTGTCACCCGT